AAATCTGTTGTGTAGCTTCCTCCGTGCTCAATTCTTTGGAGCTGAAAGTTTCTGGAAACAATTTCCAGCAACCTCTTTCGGGTAACGTTTGTGAAGCCGGTCCTCAAGGTGATCGTCGAGACTTAAGGAAGTCTTCCAATATGGCTTTGATACCAGATGTTGTACCCGAGACCCAGGGTCTTATCGAGTAATTAATTTGATGGTGGATTTCTGGAGGAAATGGAAGCAAGACGGAAACAACTTTGAACTCCAAAGTTCAGAAGCTTGTGATAGTCGATTATCACTCCTTGATAATCGATTAACAAGATCTGATGTCCATACCATGAACGTTTAGAGATGCCCGATAGTCGATTATCACTTTTATGATAATCGATTATAAGAAATGGCTGGATGAAATATGGAGGTGATGAAGGAGTTCTTTTTGGTATTTTGATTTATGAAGGTAGAATAGAATGTGGCTTAGGAATAGAAAATGGAGAGGAATGAAATGGATAGAAAACATGGATGGATAAACCAAATAATGAATAAGAGATAAACACACTCTTAGTATATTTGGGGCTGATGGATAAACCAAATAATGAATAAGAGATAAACACACTCTTACTATATTTGGGGTCGTTATCTATTTCACATAATAATAATCACTACTAATGTATAAAATAGACTCCTAACACACACTCAAAAGTAGCCAACTTTAGAGATATTTCATTAGGAATTTGGTTAAAATAGCATCACACTATTTTAAGAGAATACTCAAAAGAGTAACAAAGTTTATCATTCAATAATCAGCTGTGTTACAAAGGCCTAAGGGCCGAATTATAAACAATGATGGAAAGGGAGTAAACATTACAAATGAAAGTAAAAACAAACAAGGAAACTACCAAGCATCATACTCCCCTTCTTCGAAGAAAGTTTGTCCTCAAACTTTTGCACTACCGTGACTGATTGGGTTTCATAAAAGAATTCCCGGATCAAATGGGAAATTCAATGAACCACCAATAATGAGGTTCCTTCCGGAATTAGTGGGCACCTCGTTGTGTAATTTCCAGAACATGATCCCATTCCTTGTAAAAACCTACTTTAAACATACCTCAGATAAGAGAAAAGATTTTACTTCATTGAAAAGAGGATAATACTCTATGGAAATCACTTCCGTAGAATATATAACTTCCGGTGTGGCTTTCTCTATAACTACCTCATCAACGAAGTCATCTTGAATAAGGAAAGAATCATTATAGTGTGATTCTTCCTGAGCATTAGAAGTCGGTTCTTCTACGAAGACGTCATCTTCATCTTTGGCAGGAATAACAAAGACATCTTCCTCATTGACAAATTGGTCACATGTGCTTTTCTTTTCCTCTTCACGAATCATGACCCACTCTTCATATGGTATGGCATATTTATTTGAACATTCCCAATGGCCATGACCACAGCCACCACACATGAAACATCGCCGAGTAGCCCATTGCAATATTACTCCATTTGCAAGGATAATTTCCTGATTTCTGAGGTGTCTTTTAGAGACCATATATTGGAATTAGGTAATTCCAACTCTCAAAGCTAGATATTGACCTCCATAAACACATATCAAAAATTTGGAGCCATTAAAGATCATTTGCTATCTCTTTGGAGACAAATTCAGCAAGGTAGATAGAATTCGTCCAGGATTCTGTTATCAACTTCGGGAGGGCGTATCTCACTAACCACAACTCAGAATTGAGTGAAATCCGCGGCCACACGTAGCAAAAACGTCAAACTTTCATACTGAAAAATTTCACTTCCAAAGCTGTTGTGTAGCTTCCTCCGTGCTCAATTCTTTGGA